AGAATAATGATTATTAAAAAGTCAAGAAACAATAGATACTGGCAAGGCTGTGTAGAAATAGGAACACTTCAACAATGCTGATGGGAATGTAAATTAGTTCAACAGTTGGGGAAGAAAGTGTGGTGATTCCTCAAGTATTTAGAACCAGAAATACTGTTTGACCTAACAATCCCATTACTGGGGATATACCCAAAGGAATATAAATCATTCTACTGTAAAGACACATGCACATGTATGTTTACTGCAGCAGTATGTACAATAGCAAAGACATGGAACCAACCCAAATGCCCATCAATGACAGATTAAGTAAAGAAAATGTGGTACATATAGACCATGGAATACTATGCAGCCATAAAAAAGAATGAGTTCATGTCCTTTGTGGGGACACGGATGAAGCTGGAAGCCATCATCCTCAGCAAACTAGCACAGGAACAGAAAACCAAACACTGCATGTTCTCACTTATAACTGGGAGCTGAACAATGAGAACACTTGGACACAGGGAGGGGAACACACATCAGGGACTGCTGGAGGCCGGGGAGCAAAAGGAGGGAGAGCATTAGGACAAATACCTAAAACATGTGAGGCTTAAAACTTAGGCTGGATGTGTTGGCTCAGACCTGTAATCCCAGCACTTTGGGAGGCCAAGACAGGCAGATCACCTGAGGTCAGTTAAAGACTAGCCTGACTAACAAAGAGAAACCCCATCTCTACTAAAAATACAAAACTAGCTGGGCGTGGTGGCACATGCCTGTAATCCCAGCTACTTGAGAGGCTGAGGCAGGAGAATCGCTTGAACCCGGGAGGCAGAGGTTGCAGTGAGCGGAGATCGCAGTGAGTGGAGATCATGCCATTGCACTCCAACCTGGGCAATGAGAATAAGACTCCATCTCAAAAAAAAAAAAAAAGGAAGAAAACCTAGATGACAGGTTGATAGGTCCAGGAAACCACGATGGCACATGTATACCTATGTAACAAACCCACACCTTCTGTACACATATCCCAGAGCTTAAAAAGTAAAATTTAAAATTTTTTTTAAAAGAAAAGAAAAAAATAAAAATAAAAAAATCTTCTGTCTCCTCCTTTAGCTTCTGTGGTTTCAGGTTTTACATTTAGGACATGAATTCATTCTGAGTTAGTATTTTTATATAAAGTCAAGTATGGATACAAGTTCACTGTTTTGCATATTGAAATTCAATTGTTCCTATACCATCTGTTGAAAAGACTATTTTTTCTCTACTAAATGTGCCAACAATCAGTTGTTCATATATATGTGGGTCTATTTCTGGGATCTCTGTTCCATTGATCTTTATGTCTTGATTACTAAAAGGAGTCTTTATAATATAAAGTCTTCAAATCAGGCAGGGTTATTCTTCCAACTCTGTTTTCTCTTTAAAGTTATTCTGGCTATTCTAGATCTTCTGAATTTCCATATGAATTTTTTAATCAGCCTGTCAATTTCTGAAAGCCTCCTGGAATTTAAACTGAAAATGAGTTAAATTCATAGATCAAGTTGGGAAGAGTGTACATCTTAATAAACAATATTAAGTCTTCTAACTGATGAACAAAATTGGTTGGCTGATTTAGATCTTCTTTGTTCTCAACAATATTTTGTAGTTTACAGGTTTTGCACATCTTTTGTTAGATTTATCCCTAAGTCTGTCGTTATTTTTATGCTGTTATAAGTGGTATTTCTGAATTTCAATTTCCAATTGATTGTTGCTAACAGAGTATACAGAAATACAATTAATTTTTTGTATGTTTATCTAGTATACTGAAATCTTCCTCAACTCTTTTATTAGTTACAGTAGCTTTCTTTGAAAACTCAAAACGAGATACCACAATATACCTATTAGAGTGACTAAAATTAAGAAGACTGACTGTAACATGTGTTGGCAAGGTTGCAGGGGGAAGTAGAACTTTCAAATACTACTGGTAGGAATGTAAACATTACAACTACTTTGAAAAATATGCTAGCAACTTCTTAAAAGCTAAACATATACCTACTATATGATCTAGACATTCCAATCCTAGGTATTTATCCAAGAGAAATGAAAGGATATGTTCATGCAAAGACTTGTACATAAATGTTCATAGCAGCTCAATTTATAGTATTAAAAAATTAGGAATAACCCAAATGTTCATCAGCACATGAATGGATAAAGCAACTGTGATATACCAATGGAATACTAGTCTGTAATAAAAATGCAAAGGTATTAATACAACACGGATGAATTTCAAATTTCTATAACATAAAACTCTTTCTTTCAAAGTATACAATGCAGTGGTTTTTAGTACACTGACAAAGTGGCACAACAGTCACCACTAACTAATTCTAGAACATTTTTATCACCCTAAAAAGAAATCTGTATCCACTAGTAGTCACTCCATACCCTTGTCTCACAGAATATACTTAATTTCCAGATGACAATGTATTTCATGTGGGCATCCCAAATCAAGCCTCAAAACCTTTCAGATTTGAAAGATTGCTTTTAATTTCAAGGGTCTGTGGTATAAACACTGCTATTCTTCATCATTTTATTCTTTCTAATGAAAAACAGAACCATACTGACAAAGACACTGACAATTTTAGAGATGTTCCAATTGTAGAAGTGTCATTTAGTATATATAACTATAATAGTTACTGCAAAATTATTACTTTTATTCACGTATTAATTTCACATATAGTAATTTATTTTTCCTTGGTTTCTCCTTATTAGTTACAAATACCAGGACCAGTCAAGACTGAACTACAGTGGTGAATGAAAAAGGCATGGTATCTTTGCAAATATTAAATCACATATCACTACAAAGCTTTAAAAAATTAGATTACTTCAATCCACTTTGAGATCATTCCACCATAAACTATAGTTTCTCAAAAACTTTTTAACAATCTTTATAAAAACTTTAGGTAAAGCCAGCAACACACTGGAAGGATAATGGTTTTACACTCTGCATTATAGCAACTCAAAACATTATGTTCCATAATTGTGCCTTTTTTTTTTTTTTAAAGAATCACCATTTGTATTACAGCATCTATTACAGAAGAAATGATAATCATAATCCAATCAAAATTTAGCAATCTTTCAATACTGAAAGGCATGTCAGTGATGAGAAACATACTTAATAAGCCTTGTAGTAATATGCATCAGGGTTTAATGATTCCATAATCCCACAAACTACTGTTGGTACACAGATATTAAATGTGATACAGCAAAACAGTAGCTGATACTTGAATTTTTACACTTCTATGTTTAGATCATACCGTGAAAACAACACACAAGCATCACTCACTGTTTAAAAAGTTAACTTTTTTTTTTTTTTATGAGACAAGATCTTGCTCTCTCACTCAGGCTGGAGAACACTGGTGCAATCACAGCTCACTGCAGCCTCTAACTTGTGGGCTCAAGTGATCCTCCCATCTCAGTTTCCCAAGTACCTGGGACAGCAGGCACATGCTACAATGCTAAACTTTTATTTTGTTTTAACTTTCTTTACTTCTCAATTTTTATTTTTTAGAATGAGAGGAGATCTGTTCTGTTCATCCAGGCTGGTCTCAAACTCCTGGCCTCAAGCAATACTGCCTGCCTTCACCTCCCAAGTAACTGGGCCTTCAGGAACCAGCCACCATATTCAGCTCAAAAGTTTAACTTCTTATATAACATATTCTAAGCATACTAAATCACAAGTTAGAGACATTTCCAATTATTTTCCTAAGCAAAACCTGTATTTGAGCAGTATATAACTGTAATGCTGTCAAAGCCTTATTTGTGAAGGATAGATTTCCTTGATTAATTTAAAAAATATGGAATAAGTATGACTATATAATAGAAAAATCAAAGACAGGAAAATTCAGAAAGAACATGTAATGCACATCTCTCAGATACTATTTTAGCATAACTGCTTTCAAAGCACAACCCAAAAGTAAGCAGACTCTTACTATCTGAAATGGATATAATCAAAGACTTCTGAACCTGTAAAGTACAAATACCACTACATACATCCACTCAGAAAAACTATTAGGTACCCAGTGAAAAGAAAACCACCAAGCCTCATTACAACACAGCACTGGGCAGTTCTATGTGCACTCACTAGCTATTCAAAATTTTGCCTGAAAAATTACGATGTGCTGCATTATGGACTTGGCAGCTGGTTAACAGTCAAAACCATGGACATTAAATGCTTGACTGTCGAGGTCCTGTAATAAATGTTTGAGGAAAGAATGAACAAATAAATAATTTTTTAAAATCTGCTAGGCATAGTATCAACACGGGATTTGTCATCTTAAAAGCATCGTTTCTCTAGAATATTTCCTAGAAAAAAGAAAATTTAACTTCACATAAAGACCTGTACAGTAATGTTCATAGCAGCTATATTCATAATCACCAAAAACTGGAAACACAAATGTCCTTCAATCAGTGAATCAATAAACAAACTACAGGACACTCATACAATGATATTCAATCAAACACAAAGTAACAAACTATTAGTACACCCCAAAACTTGAATAAATCACAAAGGTATTATTTTGAGTACAAGAAGACAGTCTCAAAAGGTTACATACTTTGTAATTCCATTTATATGTCATTCTCAAAAAGACAAAACCACAATGATTGAGAAAAGATCAGTGGTTGCCAGGATTAGTGGAAGCAGGTAGGCGTCATCATGAAGGGATAATGAGGGAATGTGGGGGAGTGATGGAATTGTTCTGTATCAAGACTGTAATGGTGCTTACATGAACCTATATATGTGTTAAAATTCACAGACAAGTATATGAAAAAAGGCCGATTTTACTATAATTAAAATAAATGGCATTTCAAAGAAATCAACTAATTGTACTTACTCATTCTGAGAGTGGTTACAATATTGTATGCAGCCAATTATTTAAAAAATTTAACACTACTTGCTAGTGGGGATAACAAGTCAACCAATCAAGTGACTTAAAAACTCTTTAAATCTCTACTAACTTTTTAATTAAAAAAAAAAAAAAAAACAAACTTACCAAGTTCATTGAGACTCTGAGCAGCTTTTGTTATCTCTCTACTTCCCCCTTGCAGTTGTCCTTGGAGTCTCTTACTGAGATTCAAGATACGAATAATTCTCCGAAGCAAATCACAGGCAACCTGTGTAAACAACATAATGTTAAATAAGTTGATCCATGAAAATTTATTACTATTATTAAATAGCAATGACAAGCATGGAGGGTTGAGACAGGTGCAACAAATCACCATGGCACGTTTACCTATGTAACAAACCTGCACATCCTGCACATGTATCCTGAAACTTAAAAAAAAAAAAAAAAAGCACAGTGGTTCACACTTTGCTTATATATGAATCTGCCCATTCCTTCCAGATGCTAAAGATTCACTCATGCTTTGTTTCCCACCAATGACAAACCTAAATAATCACAAGTCTTAAAAAGCATCAAATCTCCTAGAGAACACATACAGAAGTACTATATTTACATTTTACAATAAACTCCAATTTATCTCAAGTGGAGAGAACTTGGAACTGAGGCACTGTGAGAACCAAGGATTCTTTCAGTTCTAAACCAGTTTTATTCTCTAGACCATTGGTTCTCAGTCTTGACCACAAATTCAAGTGGGTAGATTCAAAACGTTCTAATGCCCAGGCCACAGCCCTGACCAATTAAATCAGCATCTCTAGGGATGGGAACCAAGCATAAATTATGTTTTTAAGATTCCTTGGTGGTGCCAATGTGCAGTCAAAATTGACAACCACTATATTAGGCTGCTTAGCTTCCTACTACTGCCTCCTGCTATTTCCAATTCCAGCTTCTCTTTTCTAGATTCCTGCCTGAGTAGTCTTAAAACTTCTCTTGCAGAGGGATCCAAGATGACCGAGTAGGAGCAGCTCTGGACTGCAGCTCCCAGGGAGAGCGCAGAGGGTGAGCAGTCGTTGCATTTCCAGACAGATTTTTATTGCCCACAGACCAGAAGATTCCCAGGCCGAGGAGCACCACGGGTCTCCAGCGTGGCTGTTTCAGCCGGCATGGCGGATCCACACAAAAAACTCACATGGGTCTGGGAGCCCTTTCAGCTGGCGACTGGGGCACCTGGAAGACAGAGTCGTCCATTCAACTGATAAAAAGGGGACTGAAACTGGGAGCCAGGCCAGGAGATTCCTGGAAGACAAAGTGCCACGAGTCTCCAGCATGGCTGTTTCAGCTGGTGCAGTGGGTCTGCGCACAAAATCTCGCACAAATCTGGGTGCCGTATCAACTGATGACTGGAAAGCCTGGGAGACAGAGTCACCTGTTCAACTAAAAAAAAAAAAAAAAAAAAAAAGGGGGTCTGAGGCAGGGAGCCAGGTTATCAGGCTCGGCCAGTCCCACCCCCAAAAAGAACAGCAATCTGAAACGCTGTGGATTGAGAGTTTCACAGCAAGCACAGCTGAACCCAGGATGGTCCAGCTCTGTGGGAGAGGGGCGTCTGCCACTGCCGAGGCGGGCCACCACTGCCGAGGCAGTTCTAACTATACCACTATAAACAGGACTGCAGGAAAGTTCACACGGCAGCTGGGCGGAGCCCACAGCAGCTCAGCAACAACTCTGCTGGCAGACAGTGAATAAGCTGCCTCCTCACTGGGCAGGGCATCGTTGAAAAAAGGCAGCAGCATGACAGAAACTTATAAAGTCCTACCTTCCCAGGACAGAGCACCTGGGAAAAAAAGGCAGTTATGAGTTCTGTAGCAGCAGACATTAATGTACCTGGCCCAGCAGGTCTGAATGGAAGAACAGAGCTCACAACTCAGCACTTGAGATCCTATAAAGGACAGAGTGTTTCCTCAAGCAGCTCCCCAACACCCATATATACAAAGAGTCATCTCAAAAAGGAGAACTCAGCTTGACATCTGGTGGGTATCCTTCTGGGACAAAGACAGCAGAAGAAGAAACTGGCAGCAACACTTCCTGTTCTACAGCCGCTGCAGGTGATCCCCTGGCAAGCAGGGTCTAGAGTGGACCTCCAGCAGAAGGGCCCAACTCTTAGAAGGAAAACAAAGAAATAATGTCATGATCAACAAATAGGACGTCCATTCAGAGACCCCATCTGAAAGTCGCCAACTACAAAGACCACAGATAAATAAATCCACAAAGATGGGAAGAAACCAGCACAAAAAGGAAAAAAATCACCCAAAAGCAGAACACCTCTCCTCCTACAAGGGATCACAACTCCTCACCAGCAAGGGAACAAGGTTAGATGGAGAATGAGTCTGATGAATTGACAAAAATAGGTTTCAGAAGGCAGGTAATAAGAAACTTCTCTGAGCTAAAAGAACATGTTCTAACCCAATGCAAACAAACTAAGAACTTTGAAGAACGGTTTGACAAAATGCTAACAAGAATAAACAGCTTAGAGAGGAATATAAATGAATTGATGGAGCTGAAAAACACAACACGAGAACTTCGCAAAGCATACACAAGTTTCAATGGCCTAACTGACCAAGCAGAAGAAAGGATATCAGAGGTCAAAGATCAACTCAATGAAACAAAACAAGAAGGCAAAGTTAGAGAAAAAAGAGTAAAAAGAAATGAACAAAGCTTCCAAGAAATATGGGATTATGTGAAAAGAGATAATCTACATTTGATAGGTGTACCTGAATGTGACGAAGACAATGAATCCAAGCTGGAAGGCACTCTTCAGGATACTATCCAGGAAAACTTCCCCAATCTAGCAAGGCAGGCCAATATTGAAGTCCAGGAAATACAGAGAACACCACAAAGATATTCCTCAAGTAGAGCAAGCCCAAGGCACATAATCGTCAGATTCACCAGGTTTGAAATGAGGAAAAAATGCAAAGGGCAGCCAGAGAGAAAGGTCAGGTTACCCACAAAGGGAAGCCCATCAGACTCAAAGCAGATCTCTCAGCAGAAACCCTGAAAGCCAGAAGAGAGTGGGGGCCAATATTCAACATCCTTGAAGAAAAGAACTTTCAACCTAGAATTTCATATCCAGCCAAATTAAGTTTCATAAGCGAAGAAGAAACAAAATCCTTTACAAACAAGCAATTACTCAGAGATTTCATCACCACCAGGCCTGCTTTACGAGAGCTCCTGAAAGCAGCACTAAACATATAAAGGAACAACCAGTACCAGCCACTCCAAAAACATACCAAATGCTAAAGAGCATTGACACAATGAAGAAACTACACCAACTAACAGGCAAAACAACCAGCTAGCATCAAAATGGCTGGTTCAAATTCACACATAACAATATTAACCCTAAATGTAAATGGGCTAAATGCCTCAATCAAAAGACACAGACGGGCAAACTGGATAAAAAGCCAAAACCCATGGGTGTGCTATATCCACGAAACCCATCTCACATGTAAGGATACACACAGGCTCAAAATAAAGGAATGGAGGAAGTTTACCAAGCAAACATTGAATGTTGACTGGATAAACAATGAAATGAAGGCAGAAATAAAGACGTTCTTCAAAACCAACAAGAATGAAGACACAACACACCAGAATCTCTGGGACACATTTAAAGCAGTATGTAGAGGAAAACATGTAGCAATAAATGTCCACATGAGAAACAAGGAAAGATCTAAAATCCACAACTTATCATCAAAATTGAAAGAACTAGAGGAGCAAGATCAAAAAAACTCAAAAGCTAGCAGAAGACAAGAAATAACTAAGATCAGAGCAGAACTAAAGGAGATAGAGACACAAAAAACCCTTCAAAAAAATCAATAAAACCAGGAGCTGGTTTTTTGAAAAGATCAACAAAAAAGAAAAGAGAGAATAATCAAATAGATGCAATAAAAAAAGATAAAGGGGACATCACCACCGATTCCACAGAAATACAAACTACCATCAGAGATTACTACAAACAACTCTATGCACATAAACCAGTCAACCTGGAAGAAATGGATAAATTCCTGGACAGTTGCATCCTCCCAAGCCTAAACCAGGAAGAAGTCAAAACCCTGAATAGGCCAATAACAAGGGCTGAAGTTGAGGCCGCAATTAATAGCCTACCAACCAAAAAAAGCCGAGGTCCAGATGGGTTCACAGCCAAATTCTACCAGACATACAAAGAGGAGCTGGTACCATTCCTTCTGAAACTATTCCAAACAATCCAAAAAGAGGGAATCCTTCCCAAATCATTTTATGAGACCAGCATCATTCTGATACCAAAACCCAGCAGAGACTCAACAAGAAAAGAAAACTTCAGGCCAATATCCATGATGAACATAGATGCAAAAATCTTCAATAAAATACTGGCAACCTGATTGCAACAGCACATCAAAAAGCTTATCCATCATGATCAAGTAGGCTTCATCTTGGGGATGCAAGGCTGGTTCAACATACGCAAGTCTATAAACGCAATCCACCACATAAACAGAACCAAAGACAAAAACCACGATTATCTCAACAGATGCAGAGAAGGCCTTTGACAAAATTCAACAGCCCTTTATACTAAAAACTCTCAATAAACTTGGTATCTCAAAATAACAAAAGCTATTTATGACAAACCCACAGCTAATATCATACTGAATGGACAAAAACTGGAAGCATTCCCTTTGAAATCTGGCACTAGACAAGGATGCCCTTTCTCACCACCCCTACTCAAGATAGTACTGGAATTTCTAGCCAGAGCAATCAGGCAAGAAAAAGAAATAAAGGGTATTCAATTAGGAAAGGAGGAAGTCAAATTATCTCTATTTGCAGAATGACATGACTATATTTAGAAGACCCCATTGTCTCAGGCCAAACTTTCCTGAAACTGATAAGCAACTTCAGCAGTCTCAGGATACAAAATCAATGTGCAGAAATCACAAGCATTCCTATACACCAATAACAGACTTAAAGAGAGCCACATCAAGAACGAACTGTCATTCACAATTGCTACAAAGAGAATAAAATACCTAGGAATACAACTAACGAAGAGTGTAAAGGACCTCTTCAAGGAGAACTACAAACTACTGCTCAATGAAATAAGAGAGGATACAAACAGATGGAGAAACATTCCATGCTCGTGGTTAGGAAGAATCAATACTATGAAAATGGCCATACTGCCCAAAGTAATTTACAGATTCAATGCTATCCCCCTCAAGCTACCAGTGACCTTCTTCACAGAACCAGAAAAAAACAGCT